GGGTGAGGGTTGTCACTGGCATTACTTTGGGGGCAATTCTTCGTAGGAGGAATCTGTCCCATACAAAGTAGGTCTTGTAGCATCCCTGCCACCCACCTCCCCCTCCCCTAATGCCAGGAGCTGCTGGCTTTCTCAGTACTCCCCGCCCCACTGGAGCCACGAGGTTGGTTTGTGAAGGCAAGCAGGAAACTATACCCTTGGCCTAGAAAGGTAGCCAGCGGTAGCCGGACCGTGGAGGGCCTTGGATGCCAGGATAAAACCTTGCACTTGACGAAGCAAGGAGTGGCCACTGAAGGTTTTCCAGTAGGGAGGAGATAAGATGTGCTTTAGAAAAATGAAGTTTGGAACAATGTGCAGGATGAATAGAAGGCCTAAGAAAGACAGGGAAATCTGGTACAACCTCTTGCAACCTTTTCACTCAAGTTATCTTCAATGAGGGTGGGCTGCTTAGCTCACAATTATTGGCGGATGTCAAAGGTCAAGCGGAGGTCCTGACAGCACGTCTCCAAGCAGATTGCTGGAATGGCCTATTAGAATAGCATTTGCTAAATCAGGATTTGACTAATATTCCATTGCCTCTTCCTGTCTTTCAAATCAATGCACCTGGGGATGCCCACAATGCAACTCCTCCTCCCTTGGTCCTCCCTGGCAGAATTTGTGTCAAACCAGCAGAAGGAAGAAAAGGCAACCCTTTGAGAATTCTTCTCTCCCCTGCCTATCCAGGGTCCATTGCTGCCTTAGTAAGCAAGCGACCTCTCAGTGCCCGAACAAGGAAGCAATTCAGCCTGACCCGAGGAGAGAGGGAGGAAGGCACTCCCTACTCTGGCTCTTCACTGGCCAGGACAGGACACGGCTTTTGAGCCAAGGCCCAGAGAATCCCGAGCTGATAAAGGCCCATTGTGGCAGCTTCTGGAGAAACCCAGAGGCCATCAGGGGGCTCTGGGGCTCAGGAGCCAGTTAACACCACTTGAACATTTGTGGATAGAATGACTTGGCGGAAGTCAAGGCAGAATGAGGCCCCCGGGCTGCCAGGGGCACTATCCATGGCAGGCCGGCTAAAGGCCAAACCAGCAGGAGCCTGTCTGTGGCTAGAAGGGCTGGCCTGGAGGCAGGGGGGACCCACAGGCTGTGGAGGGCTTCCCTGCAGACACCTGGAGGAAGAAACCCAATCTCCCGCCAAGTGCAAGAAACGCAACTGCTCTTTTTAAAAAGGGCCTGGGGAGGGGGGAGTCTGCGGCCCTCCCCCCCCTCCCAGGGGTGTCCACAGCAATAAACAGCAGGAAAGGAGGAAGCCCGTCTGGAAGCTGTTGAGAAATTCTCCCTGCTCAGGGCTGTCATGCTTGGAGCGCAGGCACCTCACCATCTGCAGACCCCACTGCTCTTACCGCGAAGAACCAAGTGGGAAGAGACACCCCGAGATAAAGGGTGCCAGGGCAGCTGAGGAGTCGGGCTCGACGGGTGCCCACAGGTGTCGGGCAGGACCAGGCTTCGGCGGGAGGTTTAGCTGGGCCCATTGCACTTCTGGAGTGCTCCAGGGGAACGGGAAGGGACTGGACCTCCGCTCGAAAGCCCTGGGAGGGGAGCAGGTGCAGGGGTGGGGGGACTGGGTCTCTGCCTTTCTCAGCTGACCGCTCACCCTCACTCGGGGTGGTGGCAAGGAATGTGAATCCAGGTCACAGACCGGGCTGTAGGGTCCTCTTTTTTTTTTTAAAGATTTTATTTATTTGACAGAGAGAGACACAGCGAGAGAGGGAACACAAGCAGGGGGAGTGGGAGAGGGAGAAGCAGGCTTCCCGCGGAGCAGGGAGCCCGATGTGGGACTCGATCCCAGGACCCTGGGATCATGACCTGAGCCGAAGGCAGTCGCTTAACCGACTGAGCCACCCAGGCGCCCCTGGAGGGTCCTCTTAAAGACCGTTCTCCTTGGCCAGGTGGTGAGCCCAGGGATTAAACCGAGCACAGAGGTGAAAGCATTGCCCGAGTGCTCACAGCACTGTTGTTCCTCTGTCTTTTTCCTCAAAGGATTTCAGGTGAGTGACTGGTTCACATCTCAGTGGTAGGTCCGCTCTCCCTCCCCACCATTCAAAACGCATCAAGTTGGCCCCCTCAGATGCCAAGTCATTTCTACATCAAAGCAAAACAGAGTAAGCCATATAAACCCATGATATGAAGCCACATAATGAACATCAGCTTCGAACTCCTGGGCACTGAATTGCACGTGGCTCCTGTGCCGTTCACGCCCCTCCCCCAAGGGGAAGGCAGAGTGGTACCAAAAGCCACAGAGAAAAGGCAACTCATCTCCACTCACGTGGCCTCCGAAGAACCCATCTTATGACAAAGCTCACCTGACACCACGGAGATTCATTTCAGGCTGGGGATGGCTCTGGAACACAGCACAAAGCTATGTTTTCTGAAACCAAAGCATCCCCCAGCCTTGCTGGAGACTGTCCCAGCTGGCGAGGCAAACACGTGCACACAAAAACTGCTAGAATGCTCTGTTCTGATCTCATGGCTCCCACAAACAAAAAAAGCAAACCCGTTAAGACTGAGCTGGAAGGTTCTGGGTGTCATTTATTGACGGCAGTTTACACACATTTGTTTTCTTCCCATGGCCATTTCCTTCAAAGCACAGGCACAGAGCCCTCTGGAAAGGCGGTCTCTGAATGAGGGAGCCAGAATGCAGGATGCACTCGGCTTTGGCAGGCGTGCTCAGACTCGGCAGGATGCAATCCTTCAAGCTGGAATTCCGTCGGGTGTCTTGAGACACCAAGGTGGGGGGTGGAGAGGAAGTCTTCAACAGGACTCACATCCCCGACCAGGCCTGCTCGCTTGCTCTCCAAGGCCATCCCGGCGGCAGGAGCCTGGGGGCGCCATGCAACAGGCCCACCCACCTTCCCAGGGGCAGATTCTTCAGTCCATGCCCTGCTGTTCACACCTGCTTCCGCCAGCCCCGCAGTTAAAGAGAATCAGCCTTATGGTAAGAGACAGATGACTTCCTCTCTGACCCTCCCTAGCAGCTCTTCAGCTGGTCTGTGGAGGAACCGCTGGGAAACATGGAGACCCATGCTTTCCCGTCAGCTGAGTGTGCCGTATTCCTCACGTCCCACCTAGACGACAGGCTGGAGGCTCCGAGGGCGCTCAGGCCAGCCACCGAGCTCCCCAGCCCCGGGCGCCAGAGCCTCTCTCCCGCCGACCGCCAGTGCCTAGACCGGAGCGCCGGTGGGCCCCGGGCACTTGGCGATTTGGGGGAGGGAGGCGGATCAAAAAGTGGATGGAAATGGGAAGAATGAAAAAGCTTCATCTGATAAGGAGAGATCTGAAGTGATTTCACTTTTATTTCCTTCACTTTAAGCCAATCGTGAAATTTCACAGTGATTTCTGGGGCGGGGGCAGAAGGGCGGTGGCGCGAAGAGTGGTCAGGGCCGGGGCCCAGTGGCCGGGTCTCACTGTGGCAGCTGCAGGAGCACGGACTGCCCAGCCGGCAGGTACGTGATGTTCCGAGAGCGCGACAGCTGGTACGCGATGTCCTCTGCGGCCTCCAGCTTGCGCAGCTCGATGAGGCCATCGCCCGCGGTGGCGAGCGAGTTGGCAATCAGCTCGGCGGCCTTGGAGTCGCCCTCGGCAGAGATGATGGCCGCCTTCTTCTGCTGCTCAGCCTAAGACAGCGGAGGTGGGGGGAGACCAAGATCACACCTGAGGGTGCTGGATGGCAGGCAGCGGCCTTGGAAGGACCAGGCCACACGCCCTCACTGGCTCCCGAAGGAACTCTGGGAATCTAGCTCCCCCACCTCCAGATGGGCTCAACAGGCACCGTCCACCCAATCCTCCTCTTTCCTGCAACGCACTGCCCACTCCTCGCCGTTGCGGGGACACATTTCTGTTGGCTGTGTAAGTATCTGTCTTATTTCAAAGTCCTCATTGATGTTAGCAGCAATCCAGCCCAGCCATCTTACTCTGAGCCAGGAGGAGCCAAACCGAGGAAAACAGGGGAGACAAAAGGTAGAAGCCATCCTCAGGCTCGACTTTCCCTCCAGTCCCTAGTCAAAGTGACTTTCATCTAACACACCTGTTTGGGGAAACAGAGCAGCTGATGAGGAGCTACAGGCCCGTGTGATGCTCCCCTGAGCTAACCTGGTTCCAGCCCAGGAACCCAGGCAACAGAACACAGCTCTCCAGGCTCTCCCTACCCGCATCAACAGGAGGACCTCTATCTGCAATGCCCGACTCGGTCATGGGCGGAGGGTACGGCATTAACAAATGTTAACTGAGCACCTACTAAGTATTCCCAGGTACAGTCTTAGACCTATGTTCGAGACTCTGGACACAGCGGGGGAAGGAAAAAAAAAAGCAAGGAAGTCCCTGCCCACAAGGGGTTTCCATTCCCTAAAATGAAACGCTGGCCACCCGTACATCACTCTTTTCCCTGCTTCAAAGAACTAAGGTTCTTGGATTAGGGCTAACCCAAAAAAACCAGCAGTGGGGAGAAGGGACAGCAAGAAATAAATACGCTTTTGCAAAGACCAGAAGACCAGGCTGCTGCGCAAATACAGCGTGTCCCATCACACTCTGCCACATCTGGATGGATTTAGTGCTGGAAAAAAAATCCAGTGACGAGAGCGCATCTGGCGCAGTGTTTGATCCTTTCTGCTGTCAGCTTTCACTGTGTAACAACAGTTAAAAATGACTTCGCAGTGAAGCTGAAAATATTCCAGGAGAAAACATTTTTATTTGCAGGCGAGTGTTTTTGATCTTAGGGAAGTGGAAGAAAAATGACCCTTCGGTGATTTTAAACATCACTTCACATATCCCTGACTAGCCCCCGAAGACTCTGGAACCAATTGCAGGAGGATGGTTCCTTCAGTCCCCTTCCGATGATCCCGGAAAAAGAGATGACAGATGATGAATTTCCAGGCCACCCAGCGAACGGGTAGACTGAGCATAGGAGAAAGGGGAGAGAGGCTCCTGCCATCTGGTTGAACGCTCACCTTTTCCACCACAAATCTGGCCCTCTCTGCTTCCTGCTGAGCCACCTGTTTGGCTTCTACCGCTTCTGTGAACTCCTTCCCGAAGGTCAGATGTGTCTAAGGGGAGAGAGGGCGCGAGATGAGGCAGCGTGATTGTTTAGGCAGCGCTGCCGCGAGGCCCCCACACCACTAGAAGGAAAAGGCCAGGAATGGCTCCAGCAGCTGGAGGCCTCTGTGAGGCCAGAACACCCTTTCACCTCCACATCCGTGTCCAAACTGAGCTCCCACCCCCAGAAGCCTCGGCTGCCTCAACAGTGCCCGCGTGTCAGTGTGTCGCCCGCGGTGCGGAGATCTCAAGCAGAAAACAGCCCGTGGGCACCAGACGGTACCTGCTCAACTGACCACCTCCCCGGGGGAGAAGACTGTGGGATCTAGGACCCCCACCTCCGACTAGTGCTCATCCAAGGTCCTATGATGGCCCGTTCGGAGCCCCCAGAGAGGCCAGATGGAAAACTGAGCCCAAGAGGGAAGGATGCAGCTGGTTCTCAGGGATTCGAGGGCGTGATGCTCTCTGCTTATGGCTTAACCAGTCCACTTCTTTCTCACAGCAGCCTCCCCACGAAACAGGAAGAGGATGAGAGACGGTGGAACGCAAATCATGGTATTCCCCACACGTGAGTGCCTCTGGTAAAGGGTTTAAGAGAGAAGGCAGGGAAAGCTATTGCTTAGGGTGAGGGTTTACAACTCTAACTACCCACAGACCTTCCCTACTGACACGGTATCACTGAGCCTGGGCTGAGGCGAGGGTCTGCAGGGACAGCAGAAACGGGACAGAGCTCAACTCCTGATGCCTGGTCTCGAGCAACTGACTCATTTATCCAACTTTTTATTAAAATAAAGAAAGAAATGCAGGGAAGAATGGTATTGGTTTTGCTATCAAAATCTATTTGCCTCCTCTCCTCCCCGACCCTCCCAAACTCTGCTTTAAAAAAGGAGAAAAAAAACAAACACATGAGCAGCTCAAAACTTCTCAGGAGTAAATTCTAGTCCCACTGTCTTCCCCAACTTGTAACATGCCTCGCTCTTAACTGCAGCTGTTCTACTTCGCCTGTTCCATTTCTGGATTGTGTTCAAGGTCTGGGGAAGAAAATACAGTCCTGAGAAGTGAAAAAATGAGTAATTAAGGAATAACGTTTCTTTCTAAAAGGGCCAGGTGAGGGCAGCATATTCCCCATGAAATCTCATTCTCACACCTCTTAGATATGGTTTCTTGTGGTCGGCCCACATTTCCCCAGAACAGAGTATGTGGTTAAAGACTAGCGAAATGCCAAGCTTCTCCTTAGGTTTTTACTTAGCATTTTCTCAGAGCCAAGGTGTTTAGGTTATCAGTGAGTGGGACGGCAGCCAAGGAATTGCTCTGGTTAGAGGTGAGCGACTGCAGCCTGGCATCCTGCCAGCAGAGGGAGCCCACTGGCCCTGCTGCCGCCTCGGGTGGAGCTGCGCCCTGTGGGTTGGTGCTGGGCGCCGCGGGTTGGTGCTGGGCACCGCAGGTTAGGGCTGGGCGCCACGGGTTGGTGCTGGGCGCCGCGGGTTGGTGCTGGGCGTTGCGGGTTAGGGCTGGGCGCCGCGGGTTGGTGCTGGGCGTCGCGGGTTGGTGCTGGGCGCCGCGGGTTAGGACTGGGCACCGCGGGTTGGTGCTGGGCATTGTTTCAACAGCTAAACAGATGCTGTGTGTGAAGTGGTGCCCGTGCGCTGCACCGGAGAATGAACAGGAAACACCTTCCCTCGCTACCCGAACAAATCACTCCAAATGATTTTTCCCTGAGAATCTAGAAACACGACCCCTTCCCCTCACCCTCCTTGATCTGAAAGGCTATCCTGCCTGTATTGCTTTCTGTTTGAGTTATGGCATTCAGCGTCATTAATACACACACTCTACGGTCTCCAGAGGCTCGCTTACACCTCCGAGATGTCCCTTGCCCCCCACACCAGGCTTTGGGGAGCAGAACCACTCATTTATACTCAATCACCTTTCACCGGGGGTTCCCAGGGTTCACTTCACTAAGCTACGTAGACCCCAAGTGTTAGGAAATTCCCGGGGGCGGGGGGCTGGGTCAGGCTGGGAGGTCTGCACTGGGGAGAAAGACTCTCTGTGCCATCTCTAGCCTCACCAGGCAATTTCTTCCTGTGTTAAACAGGGCTAGCAAGACATTACTTCCTAGGGAGCTCCCGGGAACACTCAGAGTGTCGGGGAAGGTGAAAAATCTACTGGTTAGGGACCCTAGATCAGGCAAGGCTAGAAGAAGAAAAATGTGTGTGGCAGAGGGGAAGCAAAAGAACCCTCATCTGAAACAAACCCAAGGAGACTGCCTCATAGTCAAGAAGGTTCTGCGTTTTTGAGTCTCACACCTAGGAAAGTGGAAGGCAAGACCAACAGTGTCCACCCAGAAATGGAGCCAAGCACCTGAACAAAAACCGCAGCCCCTTCCTCACAGGCTCCCTGAGGGTCTTACCAAGGACACGTCATCCAGGATGAGCCCAAAGGTCGCTGCTCGCTCTGTAAGGTCATCGCTCACCTGTCTGGAGACCAGCTCTCTCTGGGTGATCAGTTCTCCAGCATCAAAGCGAGCCTGGTTCCAAAGGAGGGCACAAGAGCCAGTCAGGACGACAAGGAAGCAGAAAGGCCAGGAAAACTACCGGCCACGTCCCAACCCACCCACTGCCACTCTCTGCCTGCCACCTAACTATCTCTTGGAGGCCGGGCTGCAGGTTCCAGGCTCCAGGCTGAGGCCCTGTCACTCACCACCACCGACTTGAGGATCTCTGTAGTGATGGATGGTAGCACCCGCTCATCATAGTCCTCCCCGATGCTGGTGAAGATGCGGGGAAGCTGGCTGGCAACGGGCCGGAAAAGGATGCGCAGGGTAATGTTGACGTTCTGTAAATCTTAGGGTAGGGACAAATGCTGGAGTTACAAATAAAAACCCCGGTGGCCTTCTAGATGACCCCTCCTACCCTCAACTTGCTGTAATTTGTAAGTAAAGTTGTTGATGTTAAGACCCTAGAGGGCAGGAGCCCCTATGCATAGCTTCCTTGGTACAAAACCCAGCAGAGCCGCAGAGCTAGGAATTTTTAAAGGTTTGTGGTGATGACAGCTTTTCAGTGTGTGTTGAATGCCCTCGGACAGAAGCAATTCAGCTTACATGTCTGAATGGTACCATGGGATGTCTGAAACAGCAAATGTTTTAAGAAAACAGGCCAATGCCAAGAATTTTCAGGTGAAGCCTTTCCAAGGCCCCCGCCAGGAGGATGCCTTGGAGAGGTTATCATGGGTCCTGCGGAAACAGTCCACACCGGCTGGACCAGGGGTACAAAGGCCAGGGCTGCAGTCCTACCCTGCTGTTCGCGAATGATGGGACCTCACTAAGCCTTAGCCAATCTCGGTTTATTTCCTTGTCTGTCAGAATGGGGGTGATTTCATCTGCCTTCCTGAACACTGGGGGGAAGTGAAGGAGAAATGAGATGTAACAGCACTGTGTCAAATGTGCAACAGATGTAAGGGGTCATCAGACTCATCTGGAGCATGCTTCTCATTACTCGGCCCAGGCAAAGGCGGGGGGCAGGGAGGGCTCACGAAGTTAATTACAACTTCCCCTGACGATTCAGGCCTGCCTGAGGCTAAAGCATGGTCAGCATCCTGGCAGTCACCAATGATACAGGGACCAGTCGCCCATGGGCTAGTTCTGAACCAGGCACCCAGAAAAGCGGGAAATGCATGCACACTAGTTCCTGATCCCTGGAAATTCCTACCAACAGTTTTGAAGATGAGTAAGTAACGTATCCTTACAACAGTTGTAAAACAGCAGAGAAAGCAATCTTGAAGAGGTGGGAAGCTTAGAACTACGCTCTTAAGTTAAAATTTTATTTTTCTTGATTAACCCCACCCCACCTTTGATCTCTTGTGGGAGGCCAGCCAGACCCTTGAGGGGCCAGGAGCTACAGGCCAGGTTGCCCAATGCCAATTTACTCGTCCCCGCCTCTGCCTGACATGCATCTCTTACTACAGTCCCAGCTCACACGAAGTTCCTCCCAGGAGCCTTTGCAGCCACCTGTGGGGGCTAGCTGTTCTCTGGCCCCCTCCACCCCAAGCCCTTGGCTCTAGAACTCACCACGCTTACTGTAACTGCCCATTCACGTGTCTATGTCCCTAGGGGGACTGAGCTCCCAGAGGCCCCCGCTTCAGTTATCTTTGAACCACCCCCACCCTGCGACCCAGCACAAAACGTGGAACAGTCACAATAAGCAACACATCCGCTGGGGAACAACACTGAAGGCATCAAATGTTGGCGAGACAACAAACCAACATCCACACGACCCTCGCCTCCTGCTGCACGGAAATGTCACTGCTGAGCCAGCCCACCTGCCATCCCATTTACCACCTGTGCATCTCTCTGTGTAGGATGGTGGGAGAACGGCGATGGCAGTTCGTTTTAGGCCCACTGTGAATCCAGGGGCATGTCAGCCACCAGGGGACTGCTCTCAAGGGACTCGGGCCCCTGGGAGGCGCAGTCTGCTGAGCGGCCGACTCTTGATTTCGGCTCAGGTCATGATCTCAGGGTCGTGGGATTGAGCCCTGGTTTGGGCTCCACACTGGGCATGGAGCCTGCTTAAGATTCTTTCTCTCCCTCTCTTAAAAAAAAAAAAAAAGGTAACAATGTGAGGCCAGCACTGCTGGAAAAAGAGGCCTTGGAGAACAAGGCAAAGGGTAAGCCGGCTGTGAAGGCACACAGAATGGCTGGAGCCTGGTTTACACAGTCACTCTGGGGAATGAGACCCAACGGAAAGGGTCGACTGAGGGAGCAAAGGCACTTTTATATTTCTTTAAAACTGGAGCACTACATAACTTTTGAAATAGACCTTTGTGTATTTCTCTAAATCTGTACAGCTGTGTGTCTACCTTAGGTCCATATTTCTATGAATCTGCGTTAAAATTCTCCAGGAAAAATATGCAAGGGGAGGTTCAGCTTCTTCTGGATCCTATGGCAACCCTCCCACACACTCTACTTCATGTGACCCACAGGCAAGACTCACCTTTGCTACCAGTGATCACTGGCACATTACGTGGTCGAGAGCGGCAATCAAAGATAATGGGTTTCTGTACCCAAGGGATGAGAAAGTGAGTCCCTTCTCCTACCACAATGTCCTGTACGCCACGGAACCGGTCAAAGATGACAGCTCTGTGCCCAGCATCCACTAGGAATGAAGGATAATGACAAGTCAGAAATATCCCTTCACCTTTTAACCAAAAAGGCTATCTGTGAAAGCTCCTTGGTGCTGTTATTATTGTCTCCCCTCTCCTGCTGTCTTCCCGCACTTCTGATCTCTAGCAGCTTCTAAGTAGCCACAAAACTGAGCGATCCCCTCCCATCCCAGTGTCTTCCCAAGGACTCAGGTAACAGGATCTGTTCTTCAGCATCCTTTCTCCTTGAAACAACTGGCTGCTGATTTTCTGATTAACTATCCCATCCCCCAACGCATTTTCAGGAAATCACCTCCCAAAGCTTCTTTCCAAAACTCACCAAAATCTTCACTGTTACCACATTCCATCCTGGTTCCAATTTAAGGCAGCGTTTCCCAGAAGCAGCTCCCTAACCTTGGAAATCCTAAAATTTGGAAGGTCCCACTCTTTCCAAGAACTTGGTTTCTCTCAGGTTTTAAGGGTTAACAGAGCTGTTCTTTTCATTCAGAAAGAAATCAGTGATGGTGATTACTGTCTAGTTGTGCGGAGTGGCTACAAAGATCAGAGCATAGAGCTGCGCCATTTAAACCAAGTAAGCTTTTCTCGTCAGCTGTTCTGTCTCTGCCTTATTGGACTTTAGAGCTTCTCCAAATATCTCCACTCTGAAAGTAACCCTCCTCTTGCCAGACAGTCACATATGAGGTAGGTCAATCTATTGCTGCTTTCCAACCATGAAAGCCAGAGAAATGTCAGAGTTGGAAGGTAAACCAGTTCAGTCCTACTGCTCGATCAAAGAAGAAGCTGAGACCTAGGGAGGGGGAAATGGCTTGCTTAAGGTCACACAAGAAAGTGGAAGAAAAGTCAGCTTAAGCCCCTGCCACACTGTTAAAAGCTGGGCAAGGCACCTCGAAGATATTTTGTCTGGAATGACCCCTATGCAGCAGAGCAAAAACTCCCACTTGGGTAAGGGCACCAAAGATCTACAGCCCTTGCTGAATTATTCCACACGAGGCAGAAAGGAACAGATGAGCTCTCCATTTCAGCTAGCCAGCAAGATCCTGACACTCGGCTGCAGCATCACTTCAAACCAACAAGAGCAACTGGGAACGTTTAACCAACAACTAGGCTGGGAGGCTCTTTGCAAAGAAAGGCTCTGAGAGAGCTTATGGCTACAAGGAAGGACAGAGGCTCGATTGACAAGGCAACCATATGGTGCGGGATGGCACCAGGTGACCCTCTTGGTCACAAACACATTCACAGACAGCGGCTGCCACGGGGAGTATCACGTGGGCTGTGCAGACCAATGGAAATCCTCCGGCAAAGGGCAGTGACCCACCACCCCCAGTGCCTCACCGTTATACAAGGCAGAGTTCACCACTCCTCCTGCAACAGCTAAGGCCAGGCCGAACTTGCCAATGGACTCAAACACTTTGGCAGCCATGTCTCCTTCTGCCGGACCCACTCACACCTATGGGGATAAAAACAAAACAAACAACTTGATCCCAAAATTCTAAGAGAAAGCCCTCTCTGAGACAGCATATTCACTTCTCAAGCTGGCTATTTATTTCCCCACTCCTGAGGGCTCTAAATCATGCACGGAAGGACATAATAAATAAATAACTCTACAGCTTGGAAAAGTGTAGTACCAATTCTGCTTTTTAAATTTTTCTACTTCTTTCTTCGTCTTTTTTTTTTTTAAGATTTTTGTCAGAGAGCATGCACAAGCAGGGGGAGGGGCGGGCAGAGGGAGAAGCACGCTCCCTGCTGGGCAAGGAGCCCTGTGGGACTCGTGGGCCACAATCCCAGGACTCTGGGATCATGACCTGAGCCGAAGGCAGACGCTTAACCGACTGAGACACCCAGGCGTCCCTCTTCTTTTTCTACCACTAAAGAAAAGGGGGTCTGGGCACTTGATTCAGTAACGGGAATGAGGCATGGGCTTGATACCCCCCGAGAACTCCGCACCACACTAAACCACCCTTTCATTTCCTGGACAAGCGGGCCCCAAGACAAAGGCTGGGTGGTTGGTTCTGGATAACTCTGGTCTGGAAAAGTAACTCAAAGAATGCACTACATGGTGATGCCAACAGCAAAAGTAACACTAACAGTTGGCTTTTATGCCAGGAGGCAGTCTTCTAATGGCAATTATTTAATCCTCACACCAACCCCTATGAAGCAGGTTATTACAGAGGAGGAAACCGAGGCACACAGCAAGGTTACAAGAGGAACTGAAGATCACTCAGCCATTTCGTGGTGGAACCAGGATTAGAACTTGGAGGTCTAAGTCTAGCAAGCCTGACTTAACTCCTCACCGTAGTGCTTCTCCACCATCAGGCATTAAGAATAACCTGTTATTATGGAAGCAGGAGGTGGGCGGTATTCTGGGACCAAGATATCAGAAGAACCAACGGGGCAAAAAGGCTCTCGATAGCTGCAGCGCAAGGGAGAACCCTGGACGAAGGGGGAGGGCGGGGCTGAAGCGGGGTGGGCGGGAGCACGACTAACCTAACTAAAATCTACTCCCGCACTCAACTTTTTAATGCCCCGCCCCGGCGTCGTCGTCCACTTCAGATTCAAATCCTCCCTCCCAGACCTGAGGCTTCCTCGATCACTTCCAGTGCATTTCAATGTTCCTTACCCGAGGCCAGGCCACCGTCCGGACCCCGCAGCCTTTCCATTTCCAAGAGCTTCTGGATTATTCCTCACCCTGCCCCCATACGCACCTCCCTTACTCGACGCAACCCCTAGCTCGTCCCGGGCTCACCCCCTCTCCCCTTTGACACGAGGCAGACCAACGCACGCACCCCGCCCGCCCGAATTGCGAATGGGAACCCAGAAGGGATCTGCAGAGACGCCCGTGCGCCGACGGAACCTTCCCACCATTCTCACCTGCTTCCACTCTGACCTCCACATGAATTCCCCAAGCCACACATACCACGCATGCGCCGGGCAGCTCTTTCTCTTCCCCGCCCCCTTCCACGATCCGGACCTCCGATTGGTGGGGAAGAGCGCTGTGCATTCTGGGAAGGGCGGCTTGTGGCCTTACCCGGCTTCCCGGCTCTTCGCATATGAACTACAATTCCCAAAAGGCCATTCAGCGTCTGGCCCGCGCTGAAAAGCCTTTCCTCTTTGGTGGGAAACGGACGAAAGGTTGTCGCACAGCCTTTTGGGGGCTGTAGTGCCTTGGGGTTAAATGCACGTGCCTGTCCTGAACGGGTGCTGGAGCCTGCCAGGAGGTGAGCCCTAGGGCCTCAGAAAGAGTGGCTGGGGATGCGGCTGGTGTTGGCAGGGATGGGCCGGGGAAAGTTTACGGCTGATGAAGGAAGACAGGTGAGCACCCTGCAGAAAGTTGTGGGGAGATAACTGGTGGGCTGAGAGACCTTGAGGGAAGCAGATGGGGCCATCTTTCCAAAGCCCTGTCACGAAATGTCCTGAGTGGTGGGACATTGATTGCCCGAGCCAGAAAGAATCTTAGAAACCATCTGGACTAGAAAAAGAGGACTAGAGAGAGGAAGAGATTCATTCACGGTCATGCACCAATTTAACAAAGGGGCTGGGCTTAGAGTCCGTGTCCCCTGGACACGCACACACACACAAACTTATTTGGAAAAGTGGCAAGAATAATACAAAGAACACATAACTCCTTTACTCAGATTCGTCTATGGCTAACATTTTGATCCATATGCGTTATCGTTTGTTCTCTCCCTCTCTCTTCCCATCTTCTCTCTCTGTATTTTCTAAGAATAGCGGCATCCTCTTACATAACTTAAGCAAGTTTATCCCCTGCATGCCAATTTTATCCATTGACCCAATAATGAACTTTATAGCAATCTCCACACACCCCCACCCCCATACAGGATGCAGTCTAATATTAGGTACTGTATTTATTTCTCCTGTCTCTTTAATCTCCTTTAATCTGAAAATTGTCCTCAGCCTTCCTTGTATTTTATTACATTAAAACAAACAAAAAGCATATTTCTCATTTTGGTTTTGTCTGATGTTTCTTCATGATTAGATTCGGGTTTTTCGTTTTTAACTAGGATACTACCTAAATGGTGTATGGACACTTAATTTTAACAAAACTAGACCCATTTCTGGATTCTACTAGGATTGGATTCTTTCAACTTCTTTTTCCTGCATCTCCTCTCTTCTCTGTCCCCTTTCTTTGTCTCCAGTTTCAAATGACCAGAGATAGCCACAGCAGCATTCTTCAGGTGGTATGAGTTTGCCCTACCCAACCACAATTTTTCCCTCTGACTGCCAGAATGCAAGCTCTATGATAGCTGAAGGTTTAGTCGGCTGTCTTCATTGTTCTATTCCCAGAACATACAACAGTGCCTGGCATCCCGAGAGTCACCGCCTTAGAGAGAAACCCACTACCGTATGAGCACTCATGCACATGAAGCTTCTAACCAGCTCTTCAGTGCTTGAATTACTTGGGATATTAGTGATGAGGGAACAGAAGGCAAGCTGAAGACAAGCACAAGCTGACACCCTGCAACCTCCCCCCATTCCCCACTCCTGGGTGGGACCTGTGTGACATTCTTCCAGGAATCTCCCAACTATCTTAATGTTAATGCCTTGCTAGAGGGGAAAACCACCTTAACTTGACAATGGCAAGGCCTCTGGTATTTTGTAGGTTCTCTTTAGCATATGAAAGTTCTTTTGAGATCTCCCTTTTTCCTTACCTCCCCCAACCCCATAGTATATAATCAGCCACTGCTCACAATCCCCGTACAGCAGCTCTTTCTGCCCACGGGTCCTGTCCCCGTGCTTTAATAAACCACCATTTTGCACCAAAGACGCCTCAAGAATTCTTTGGCTCTGGACCTCACCTCACCAAACTTCACCTATATTCCAAAACCATATCATTAGTTAGAACAAAGTCTAAGTTGCTGTATCAAGGAGATCCCCAAATACAGTGAGTGGACTAAAGAAGATAGAAGTTAATTTCTCTTTGCTCCACAGGCCATTCACAGGCCTAGTTTTCTTTCATCTCATTGGTTGGCCATCCCCTAAAAGATTGTCTTTACCTAACCGTGGGCTATCTGTGTTGCAGCCTGCAGGAAGGGAAGATGGGAAATTTAGGATAGCAGTTTTGTTGTTGAGCAAACGAGTCAGAAGCAGCACATATAAATTCTGCTCTATTTTGTTGATGAAAACTTGGCCACATGACCTCATCTAGTCACAGAAGAGGCTGGAAAATGTATTCTTTAGCTGGGCAGCCAGGTAGCCAGAAGAAAGGATTTGAGGGCTAACCAGCAGTCTGAGTACCTTACTCTCAAACAGAACAGTCAGAAAAGTGCAAGTCCATTTGAGAAAAGCCATAACATGAAAGAGAAAATCAAAACACAAACAGCTAAGCAAAACAAAACAAAAGCAGCACAAACAAAATATTTGGCAGAATCAGAGACAAGGCAAGGAGCATAAAAATCTAAACAACCTAACCCTATAGTCGGTATCTTCAGATAAAGGGAAGGATCCTACTATCCATGAGCCTAGGAACAAGAGACTATTAAGATAGATAGGTAGAGATGAAAGGCTGAATGTTTTCCCCCAGAGTCCAGAACAAGGCAAAGCTTCCCACTCTCATCATTTCTAATCAACATTAGGAGGTCTTAGCCAGTATAATAGCCTACAATAGGCAAGAGAAATAAATAGGAGCCTTTCTGCATGGCTACGGATAGCAGAGGGCTGTGAAGCCCCATCATGCAGACTGGCGTCTGCAGGCCAGTCTCTGGGCTCTTCGAAGTGCAACAGCCTATGAAGTGAAAATGAATGAAGGTCATCCTGATGTTTTCCAAAAACGCCTCAGAGGATGGCTGTGATAAAACCACTAGGAGCAGAGCCACATGTAATGAGCATATAGGTAGCTGCCAATGAAAATTCAAGTCCCTAACTATTGTGGTTAAAAATTCTTCATTGCCTAGGAGCGCCTGGGTGGCTCAGATGTTAAGCGTCTGCCTTCGGCTCCGGTCATGATCCCGGAGTCCTGGGATTGAGCCCCATATCGGCCTCCTGGCTCAGCATCTTAAAAAAAAATTCTTCATTGTCTCAAAAGCATGCAATTGGAAGGAAAAAATAAAGAACTGGTCAAGAAGCAGAACTGAAGCAGATGAAGAAAATTAATATTTTATTTAACATTGGTCACCTCACAATTAAGTTACGTAGAAAAATACATGTTTGAATACTTTTAATTGCTGGGCAATAAAGTTTGTTATCTTTAAAATATATTTAAAAAAAGAAAAAGAAATAGGCATTTAGATTGGGAAAGAAGTAAAACTGTATTGTGTATGTAGAAAATCCTTAAAAATTATTTAAAAAAACTATTAGAACAAAACAAAAACAAACCTATTAGAACTAATAAGTGAGCTTAGCAAGGATGCAGGACATAAAGTCAATTTACAAAAATCAGCAATAAACATTTGGAAATTGAAAGTTAAAAATACCATTTACAATAGCATCAAAACTACGAAATACTTAAGAGATGAATTTCATGCCACCTGTGCAGTAAAACCTACAAACATTGGGGTGCCTGGGTGGCTCATCTCTTGATCTCAGCTCAGGTCTTGATCTCAGGGTTGTGATGTCAAGCCCCATGTTTGGTTCCACACTGGGTGTGGATCCTACTTCAAACAAACAACAACAAAAACACCAACTACAAACATTGCCGAGAGAAATGAAAGAAGACTGAAATAAGTGGAGAAATATACACCATATTCATTGAAGAGAAAATTCAATATTGTTACAATGTCAATTTCCCCCCAACACTGGTCTATAGATTCGAAGCAATCTTAACCAAAATTTCACCAAGCTTTTTTCTGTAGAAACTGACAAGTTAATTCTAAAATTTAGATGGAATTGCATATATGTTAAGAAAAAAAAAAAAAAAAGAAGGTAGCAGGAGGGGAAGAATGAAGGGGGAGAAATCGGAGGGGTAGACGAACCATGACAGACCCTGGACTCTGAAAAAAAAACTGAGGGTTCTAGAGGGGAGGGGCGTGGGAGGATGGGTTAGCCTGGTGATGGGTATTGAGGAGGGCACATTCTGCATGGAGCACTGGGTGTTATGCACAAACAATGAATCATGGAACACTACATCTAAAACTAATGATGTAATGTATGGGGATTAACATAAGAATAAAAAAATTAAAAAAAAATAGATGGAATTGCAGAGCACCCAGAATTGGCAAAACAATTTTGAAAAAGAGAACAAGGTTGAAAGGTTTAGTGTACTTGAAGGGTAGTGTCCACTCATCCATAAAACTACAATAATCTGGAATGTGTGGCATTGGTTCTCAGCAGAACAGAAGAGAAAATCCAGGAATAAACCCACACATCTGTGTCAATTGATTTTTGACAGAGCTAACAATGTTATTCAATGGCGAATAGATAGTCTTTTAAAAAACTGGCACTGGAGCAACTGAATATCTGTATGGGGAAAATAAAAGTATTTGACCCTTATCTCACACAATACACAAACATTAACCTGAAATGGATCACAGACCCAAACGTAAAAGCTAAAACCATCAAACTGGGACGCCTGGCTAGCTCATTCAGTAGAGCATGCGACTCTTGCTCTAGGGGTTGTGAGTTCAAGACCCATTTTGGGCATAGAGCCTACTAAAAAAAATAATTAAAAAACTATACAACTTCTAGAAGAAAAGCAAGAGAAAATCTTCATGACCATGGTGAAAGTTTCTTACGTAGAACACAAAAACAAACCGTAGACCAAAAAGAATGTGATAAATGGGAGTTGCAGAAAATAAGAACAGAGAAAACAGAGGATGATGTGATCAAATAAGTAATATCATGAATTAAAGGACATGAATTTCAGATTAAAAGATCATTCCAAGTAGAGCACAATGAATGAGAAAGGCTGATGCCAAAACTCATCATCCTGAACTCTCGGAACAATAAGGACAAAAAGATTCTAAATGCTCACAGAGAGGAAAGAACTAGAGTCAGGATGGCATGGACATCTT